ATGGAGACACCAGGGTGAGTATCTCCAGTGCATGCAGTGCTCCACTGTGCCAGATAACATCTGCACCAGAGGACATGTGCGGCGGCTGGAGCATACGGGCAGCAGGGTCTGGCTTTGCTCAGCACCGTTAATCATACCCTGTTTGATCCCAGGTTGGGTGGCTGCAAGGGGCTGTGCACATCGGGTTGTGTGTAGTGCTTTCTTGGCTTTTGCACTTGGCTACATTTGGCAGCAGCAGAGCACAGGGCTGCAGGCTGTGCTGGCCAGGCTCTGTGCAGTGTCACACATTGTGTGCAGCTGTCCTCAGGCCAGGGTTGGCACTTGGCTCCAGAGGGGTCAGGAGCAGCGTAGGGGACTTGGCTCCAGGGGGACTTTTTGCTCTGTGCTTTTGGTTCTTCCCCACACCACATGCTGGAAACTTTCCAAACACACTCAAGAAGCCCAGTATGTGCCTTTGCTCCATCCAGTGCAGGGATGTAGGTGACTTGCACTGGAGCAGAGGGTGCTGAGCCAATATGCATGGGAATGGGGGAAGCAGCAGGAATCATGGCATCTCGATTGCTCCCGTTCCCTCCGGAGCTGCACAGGTTAAACTCTGAGGTCTGGTTTTGCCCCTTTTCCTGGGCTCCCACACTGTCTCATCTCCCATCTCTCCAGGACTCCATATTGTCTGAATGAGGCAAGGAGCAGCCCTGGGCTCTGCGCTGGCCTGGAAGAGAAATCCCAGTTCCCCCCTAAAAACCTTCCACAAAACATGGCCAGAAGGACTGCAGTAGCAGCAGCATGTGCAGATGCACAGGCAGAGAAAAGATGCAATCCCCCAGTCCTCTGCCCTGCTCCTGTTGTCTTTCCCCATTTCCAGCAGCAGCTTTGCTCGGTGCCAGCAGACTGCTGAGACCTACCTGCAGCTGCACCTGACTGCTGCAGGGCAGCCAGCCCTGTGCCTGTGTGCCACAGTGCCACAGACACACATACTGTGTCTCCTGCATGTCACTGCCTGCAATGCTGAGTGCCATCAGTGCATGTGTCCTGCACATGTGCATGGGCTCATGCATGCATGCAACTTGCACCTTCTGTGCACTGATGGCTTTGTGCAAGCTCCATTCATGACTTGAACACTGTGCATGTGACTGTGTGTCATATGCACATCGTCCCATGTGTGCTCATCACGCTACGCGTGCTGCAAACCAGCCCATTTATCCTGCACGGATATTGCCTGCCAGGAGTGCACTTTTGGTGGGCTGCAGTTGCCCTTGTTGCAGACAGGCTGGACCTGCCTAACGCGAGCCGAACGAACAAAACGTTCAGGTCAGGTCTTGCACGTGGGGCTCGACGCCAGGCAAGTGCAGAGTCGCTCTGGGCTGGGAGGTTCTGTGCTGCAGGCGGCAGAGTGCCCCTTCCCCATCCTTCCTTCCCGGCCAAGTCCCTCTAGGCTGGGAGCTGGTGTCCTCATTGCAGCCACTGCTCGAGGGTAAAGTCCAAGAGGTGGATGGATGCTTGACACCTGCTGCCTGGGAAAGCCAAACAGAGTGGGGCAGGTTAAGCTGGCACCGTAGGGTGGGGAGAGACGGTGGAAAAACAGAAAGAAAGAAAAAAAGGAAGGAAGAAAGTAAAGGGAAGAGGAACGGGGATCAGAAAGGAATAGAAAATACAGGTGGGAGAGAAGAGATGAGTTAAGGGACAGCCAGGAAAGTGCCCCTAAGCCCATCTCCTCCCCTTGGGGGGGTTCCTCTGGGCTTGTCCCCTGCTGTCTCCAACAGGACCCCATGCCCAGCACCTTCTCCCGCCAGGCAGGCAGCACCCGGCCCAGTGCTGGGCTGCAGCTCCTCACCTGGCTCCGGTGACACGCTGGCAGCTCGCAGGTGAGTGGCTTCTCCTTCTCCTGCTGGCTCACAAGCAGAAAATGAGGGTGACGCCGGCAGGATGGGGCTTTTATAGCCCTGATAAAAATAGCGCTGCTGGCTGTCGGTCGGGGGGCCGGAGAGATGGGGTTGAGCAGAGACAGGCGAGAGGGCTGGGCTGGCCGTGGCGAGCCTTCTCCCAGCACACCTGTCAGGGCTCTGTGTTTGCTCAGAGCAAATATTGACCCAGGGAAGGCAGGCTGGGCAAGGGAGGCGATTAGCCCACCTCGATTAGAGGCAGAGCAGGTCTCTATGCAAACTCTCCAGGGCTGCCTTTGTTAATGGGAGCCTGATGGGCTGATAGGAGCCAGGAGCCTGGGTGCTGGGGCGGGCGGTGGGGAGGAGGAGGTGTGGGGGGGGGGAGAGGAGGAGACATTCATTAACCTGCACTGGAACAACACCAGCTGTCACTTTTCCACCCACCTGCCCTGCTCACTTTGCAGCCAGGGGTGAGAGGAGTGCAGGCTGGCAAAGCAGGAGAGGCAGGGGAAGGTGTGGGGGTACCCTGCCCTGGGATGGGGCGATATACAATGCGTGTACAGGAGGCAGAGCTCAGCAGCAACACCTCTTCTCTCTTGCTCTGGCAGCAAGCCCTCAAGGTGCAGCGCTGGAAACAGGATGTGTTTCATTCCCTCCCTGTGCACATGCCTTACGCTGGGGTCACTCCATTCCAGAGCTGCACTAGCTTCCTGCATCCATCCTGCCTGCAAAGCATCCCCAGTGGGGAACTCGCACTGACATCCCCATACAGAGCCCACAGGAGCAGAGTAGGTGTGCTCTCTGGCCTCAGCAGCCTCTGTTGATCTCACCCTGAGCCAGCAGGAGCCAGGATAGCTCTGGGTTTCTCTGGCACTCACAGCTCCCTGGATAACAGAGCATGAAGTGCAGCTGCGATGAAAGGAGAAGTTCCATTGTGTGGGTGCACTGGGCTGTTTGTGCAGATGGGGGCATTTGTGGGTGCTGCTTTCACCCCCACAACAGACACCCACAGATATCCTATCTCCTGGCAGTGTGTTAGAAACTACCATTGTCGCCCTTTCCATAGCAAGAGTTTACTTGCAGGTTGCAGTAAATAGATTCTCGTATGTAAGTGGATAGCAGCAGATCCCTATCAGCCGCTGCCATCCAGCTCTTCATCTTTGGACCTGGCAGCCAGATTTGAAAGGAGGGCTCCATCCATCTCTCCTGCCTGGGTCTCTGATCCCACAGGCTGCCAGACCAGCCCTCTGCCCGGCCCAGCCTGGCACAGCCAGGAGCTGGAGGAATTCCAGAGCACTGGCATTGGTGGCCCTCACCCCTTTCCCAGTAGTTTTGCCAGAAAAGGAAATGCAGAACCATCACTGCCCTGGGTATGATGCTAAGAGGCGAGGCAATGCTCCCTCTCCTCCCAACACCGTATGGAGCTTGCTTGCTTCTCCTGTCTTGGTGTGGGAAAGGCAGTGAGCAGGGCTCCCACCAGAGTCAGAGTGACTGGCTTTTACATGGCAGCTTCTCTCTTGTCCCAAAGGAGCCACCTTTGGTGTCCTGACCTGACCCCACCATGGACCAAAAAGTCCCCAGTGACTGAGGGGATAGAGCTGAGCCAACAAAACCTGGTATCTCAAATATGTGAAAGCAGAGGTGAAGGGTCCCTACCCTGCTTTGGCAAGGGAATCATAGGATCGTTAGAGTTGGAAAAGACCTCTATGACTCTTAAGCCCAGCTGTCAACCTGTCACCACCATGCCCACTTTTCTCTCTGGCTGTGCAGGCTGCTCACGGCAGGACCTACCCAGGTTCCCAATACTCAATGTTAGGGGCAGGGGATACAGGGGACTGCTCTCCAGCACTGTTCCTGTCTGGATGTGGGGTCATACAAGGTGGGATTCAGGCAAATGGGATAACCATGCCTTACAGGCACCATAGCAGAGAAGACCAAGAGCAGCTTTGTTCCCCTCCCTTTATCTCCCAGACAAAGGCACGATTCAGCAGGTGTTAAATGTTTTAATGGGATTCAGGATGGCTTCTGTTGCCCACTTGCCCCAAGGCCATTCCACCCTTCCCAGGATGAGCAGCCAAGAAGAAAAAGACTGTTGTGTGCTGCACAAACTGCCTACCCATGGGGCACTCCCGATAACCGGGGAGCCCATGGTTTGCCAAACTTTCCCTCTGACCACATCCTTACAGTCAGCTTGGCACTCAACCCCACACAATCATCTCACACCCACTGCAAAGGGAAGACACATTTCTCTCGCAGATGTGTAGACAGCTCCCAGACCTCATCATGATGCAGCAGGCCCAGGGACTTACACAGTCACCTACCCCATCCCCACTGCTATGGGCAGCACCGAGGCTCTGCAGGCAGCTGGATCCCATCTGCTTTAAGAGGATGGTGAGACTGCTACTCACGCCACCCATTTGGGAAGCCAGCATGAGACCTGTATTAAGAAGGTCCTAGTGAGGTGCATGTACCTGGCAGATTCACCACAAGTGGACCGAACAGCTGCTGCTGCCTTGTTGGGGTGCAAGGACGTGGCACCCAGTCCCTGCTCGGCACGGGCCCGGAAAACAGAGAAGCTGCCGTGGAAGATCTGGCACCCAGCGTGCTGGGAAGAGAGGAGGAGGTATGCTCTCTGAGCTGGCAGCGCAGTATCTCCGACAGCAGGAACAGCTTGGCCCTGGGGCTCAGTAACGCGTTACGCACGCAGGGCTCCTGCAGCGAGCAGAGCTCTGAGAGAGCTGCAGCACCCCCGGGCACAGCCGGCACCTGCCTTCTGCCAAGCAGGGCTGAAGCACCCCGCAGTGCGTGGCTTTCCTGGGGGCTGCGAGGGGAGAAGGAGCGGCTCCAATTCTGCGCCGGCACCGGAGCTTTCTGAGAACTAACAGTGCCACCTCCCGGCTGTGACAATGCGATATGTGGAAGAGACAGTCACAGCCATACGGGAAGCCAAAGCTGAGCGGCACCCAGTTCCCCCAGTGAGAACCTCGTAGATTTATAAGGAGAGAGCTCGTCCAGGGCACTACTAAACCCGGATGCGCTGATTACATCCTAATGCACACCAGTGTCTGTGCCTGCAGAGGCTAGGCTCCTTTTATTGGGCTGCTGGAACGCTGCAGCCCTTCACTGTCTGCAGGAGCTGCAGTGCAGCCATCAGAGTTGCTGGAAGATTCGAAGCAGAGATGGGGACATGTTGAGGATGTACAGCCTTGGAGGCAGGCAGCGTGCTGGCATCAAGTCTTGGGGTGGGAGGGTTGGAGCAGCTCTGGACATCATGGGGATGGGATGAAGAGTAGAGATGCGATGTGCCTGCAGAGCTCAAGCAGCATGCTGTGCCACAGCTATGCTCTTGAAGGTTAGAGTGCTGGAGTGGCGATTCTGAAAGAGAAGAGATTGCCTTTGGGCTAAGGAGAGTGCAGTCTGCTGCCACCTCCCCACAGGCAACCATCCATCCCTGGGAGATCATGGGAAATATCCCACCTCCATCTGCACAAGAATTTTGCAGCTTTAGGGATGACATCTCCGTTCAGTAACCTTTCCTTGGTCCCAAATCCCTGGGACCTGGTTTGCCCAGGACTGGACAAACCCTCATTCTTTGCCCTCAGCCCCACATCTGCCTATTCAACTGTGGCCATTCCTTCCACCTAACTGGATCCCACACCATCTCAGACCATGAGAGCTTGGCCTGCTTTCTGCTCCTTGAGCTGTTTGAGCATGCTGCCAAGGAAGATCTGGGCTCACAGAAGGCTTGGGATAGAACAAGAGGCAGAGGCTTTGGGGCTGGATTCTGCCTTCTGCACAGGCAGCCTTGGCACTGAAATTTCAACCTGGCTAATCTAGAACATGGGTTGTTGCCTCAGTTTGATGCATTAAGGACAGGTCCTTTACCTTCGGAAGGGGCTGGGGGGCAGAGCAATGACCCTGGGCCGGGCTGTCAGCACCACCTCCCCACAGCTGGCTTCCACCAGGATGTTCTGCAGTGTGTTTTCCAGCACCATCTCCACCAGACTCCTGAAGGCTGGCTGCCTGGGGATTATCAGACAGTCAACAAGGAAGGATGCTTGTTGCAGCTCCTCCCAGCACACAACAGGCACAGCACCAGAGCACACTGTTTTCTACATGCTGAGGCCAATGAACAGCTGCTCTGTGTGTGCAGCTCTTCCTCACCCCTTCATCATCGCCTTCTGCTCCCTCAGCCTCTCATGATGAAAAACTTCACTCAGCCCCTCCCAGGAGCCCAGAAAATCATTGCTAGGAGAGGATTCTTGGCTCATTTCTTTTCTCTCTCCATTCTCCTCGGTGAAAAGATCTGGGGAAGCAGAGAGCCCAGAGGGGATGGTGGAGCACTGTCCTCTGTGTTGGATCTTTGCTGTTTCTTCATGCTGAAACTGGGAGAAATATGGGATGGGCTCCTGCAGGCTTTTCCTCACCGCATCATGGAACTGGGTGTTCTCCAAAAGGCCCCTGGGGGAGGAAAAGAATGAGTCCCAGAAAATCACGTATCTGAGCGACCCCAGAGGATCATTGTAAGCCAGAGCAAGCCAGAGGGAGAACCTGGAATATCGGGGCTGCAAAGTGGGTGAGGATGAAGGGGCACACACCTGATGACACCTATCAGCATGTCCACCACTATCTGCAGCTCCTCTTTGGAAGCAGTAGCCAGGGACAACCATTTGTGGTCCATCTCCATCCTATCTCTGTCCACACTCCTATCCACAGATGGCAGCTGGTGGATGCTGGGGCTGAGAACCAGGGAGAGATGTTCCATCAGTGAGCTCCTGCAGACCTGCAGCCTCCTGGCTGAACAGCAGCACCGCAGGAAGCAGGGAGCTGCAGAGGTGCCTGGGGAGGCACTCTCCCAGAGGAGCACTATGCTTTGACAGTATCTCCCAATGGGCCACTTCTCACCCAAGTTCCTTACCAGGGCAAGAAGTATTTCGGGAACTCCGAGGCAAAGTTGCTGAAGAAGTCCTCAATAGAGTGGGACCTTGCTGTCACATCAAGGTGTAAAAGGATGGGCCTGGGAGGCTTTGGCTTGACCCACACATGGCTGGCTTCTTTGTCTGACATCAGCCTTCTCTGCAAGTGCCCCGCAGGCAGGTTGGCCACACGGTGGTTACTAATGGGGGGCAGTGTCTGTAGGGGAGCAAGAAATGCAGATCCTTACTGCTCCTCCAGCCATGGGACTGGGTTAAGTGGAACCGCTTTCGTATCTCCCCAGCCATCCTCATGCTTGTTCCAGAGGATGCTCTGACCTTATGGCCTTGCTGCCCTGATGTGACAGCAGTTCAGGTGCTGCCTGCCCTGCCCACATGCAGTTTTTCTGCTTATTCAAAACCTTCCAAATCTATTCAGAAAGGGTTGCTGCAGTCGTGGGTGCATACAAGGCTCCAAGTTCACTTCCCATTCCCCTCAGCTGGAAAGTTACAGCCCACAGGGCACAGCCAGACAGTCTGATTCTCCTGGCTCTTCCAAACAGTCTGTGTCCCAAAGCCTTGAAGCTACAAATCCCAGTGTGCTCTCTGCCTGGGCTCCCACACTGTGAGATCCAGCATCTGCCTCTGCTCTAACACAGTCAGTTTGATTCTGCAGCTGCTCAGGTGGGCCTGACTTACCTTGAATTTCCTGACCACTGCTAAGGGCTCACGGAGATTTTCTATCTCAGCAGATTCTGATGATTTCTAAAAAGAAAAAAGAAGAAAAAAGGAAAGAGAGAGAGAGAAAGAGAAATCACAGTGTGTGGAAAGATAAGGAGCTGAACGAGACTTCAGGATTCTCTTTTGCATTGCCCACCTGAAAGTCAATGACCAGTCCTCCCATTCTGCACTGGCCACATTCTTCATGGTAGTTATGTGCTTTATGCTCCTGTTTACCCATGTTTACAAATTCAATTACCAACTTCCAGAGCTGCAGGTTTTGTTTTTTTTTCCTAAAGCTGCTCATACACCGCCAAGTTTGCAGCATGTTTAGAGAAAAAATTTTCAAGCTCCTCCCTTTGCAACACTTACCCCAACAGGTGGCCTGGGCTTCTTCTCAGCCCTGAGGTCCTGCTCTGTGATGGTGAACTCCACTGCCTGCTGTTCTTTTTCCCTTTCCCAGTCTTGCAGGTCCTTTTCGTACTGAACCAGGGACTCCTGGATGTACACCTACAGAGCACACCATGATTGAGGAGCAGGGAAAGGAGCTGCAAATGACAGAGCCTGAAGGTGGGGACTGTTGGGCTAGCTCAGGTGTCAGGAGCACACGGGCTCCTGGTTCTCACCTCACACACCAGGTCCATGCTGTAGAAGGACACTCTCCCTGAAGGCTGCAGAGTGATGAAACAGGGGGTGCTCCCTCCGGGCTGCACAACTCCCTGCTCTGGGGCAACCTGCAATACCTGTGGGGAAAAATAAGAAAGCCACAGAGGATTTGTTTCTTTGTCCTGTGCCCTTACTATGTGCCCTCTCACTGCAGGAAATTCAGATCTGTGGTGTTCCTCATGCTATTCTAGGTAGGGTAGGGTAGAGAAGGGTAAAGAAGGGTAGAGAAGGGTAGAGGAAAAAGAAGAAAGGACTCACCTCACTGTCTTTCACACTGCCTGTCCTCCAGGTGAACACAACTGCCTTGCTCTCTGAGATATTATTGAGAAAGACCAGTTGGCTGGCTCTGGTGCAATTTGGGATATTCCCAATGCAAATCCTGTGGTGTGATAAGGAGGCAGCCTGCAGGAAGCAGGGTGAAACAGCCCTATTGTAGTGGGATTGAGGAAGCAAGGAGCAGGACATTCTGCTGGTGTTGGGGAAGAAGGGGATCTTTCACACATTTTTGGTCTGACCATATTGCTCATGTCAGCACCTGGACTTACCTGCCCAGTCACGGTTAGTTTGGTGGAACGCAGAATGACTGAAGGGGACAAAACTTCTCTGAAAGTGGCGCTCTCTTCTGTGGCTTTTGGATCGTAGCCTTCTCCCTGGAAGGTGATCAGAGCTGAATCACCCCCCAGGATGTGGATGGGAACGTCAACCTGCCTTGGACAAAATAAGAGCATGAAGTCCATAGCTGTGATCAGGAGAGACATGCAAAAAGGTAGTGCTCTGGCTAACAGACTACAATTGATTCATGTAAATCACACTCATACGTGAAGAGAAATCCAGGTTCTTTTGCTTTCTTTTCAGTAGCGCACACTGCAGGGATGAAATATTTCAGCTTCAGTCTCTTTTGTGGGAGTTATTGGAAGCCAGCAGTGAACCACAAATCTGACCAGATATTGTTTATACCCCTTGGGTACTGTTAGATCCTTGAGAAAATATGTATTGTGATGCCTCTGGCTGTGGAAGAAATGTGCTCTTTGGGATGTAGAGGCTTATGAGACTATCTATCTGCTCTCAGATTCTGCTTCTTGGAGGGATGGAACTCAATTCAGCTGTAGCATTGCACGGACCAAAAATCAATACAAAATCTAAAGAATGTGAGGCATAGGACAGCAGAAAGGGTACTTGGCAGTTATGAGAAAGGCCTTACCAAGTATGTTCTGGCTTCCAGTGGTGAGAAGATCCACTCAATATGACCTGTAGTGCCAGGGGCGATTTCCCCTCTAGGAGTCAAGCAGATAAATACAGGATGCTGATAATTGTCCTTCTGCACCCTCATGATGCTGTCCAGCTGAACCTCGAACATCACTGTTGTGGAGCTCCCGTTGTAAAGTTCATAAATCTAATGTGAATCACAGAGTGGAATACTCATGAAGACCCTGCACAAGTTAAACCAGTTAACACTTCCCCAGAGGACTCTGATAAGAATTAGTAATTAATTAGTCAACCCGTCTCCTAAGAATGAGGGACTTCGTAACACCAGGAGTTATCACAGAGACACTAATAGGCTCTGTGCTGAAGGTTTATCACTGCACGTGTATGCTGATGACTACAATGCCTCTCCAAGTGGTGCCCTCTGAATTTAGTCTAGGAAGAAATTAATGCAAGTTAGCTAAAGGAATCGCTGTAAAGCAGATTACTTGAAATGCAAGAACACTCTTGCTAAAGTGATTTTAATTCAATTCAGTCTTCCTCATTTCCCAGACAAATTAGGCAGAACAGAATCAAAGCTCCCAATTTTTTCTTTTTCTTTTTTTTCTTTTTCTTTTTTTTTTCTGAATAAGTATTTAAGGAAGTTTAATTAATTTACTAAGAAACTAATTAGGATTTATTTCCAGAGCGCCTGGAGCAGCTAGGCAAGTCATCACTCAGATCCAACATAAAAGAACAGGGAAAGAGTCCAACTCTATAAGCATTCTGGTTGGAGCCAATGCCAAATCTCATAGAACCGGAGGTAAGGAGAGATGCCTTCCCTACGACCATCTCAGCACCCAGTTCCAGGCAACTGCTGCTGGGTTTGGCCCTAGAATGCTCACCTGTATGGGGGGGTGGGATGTCCCAATGGCAATGGGCATGAAGAGATGCTTGGAGGAAGCAAAATGAACGTATCGCTGCTCCCTCTCCACCGTCACACCTCTGAAGTTCAGCTATGGCAGAAAGAAATGCAGTCACTGTCTCACAAAGCTTTGGCCCCATCAGCAATGACGACACAAATACTTTGCAAGCTGAAAGCAATCCATTCACAGCCTGACATTGGTAACACCAGGACAGTGAGCAAAGGCAAGGAACTGAAGAGATTGCTCAACTGATGGCTTTTCTTTGAAAGGCTTGCAGGTTGTATCACATATGGTACATTTCTTTTTCTTATGTCAGGCACCAACAGGGAGCCCAAAGGTTGCTGAAGTTCCCAGCTGAATTTCAGGTGATTGAGTAATGACTAACAGTATCCTGTTAGTAAAGTGGCCATCACATCGTGCAAAGCAGACAGAGTTACAGTTGGTTCATGGAAAGGAAGAGACATGGGGTTCTGCATATTGAGAAAGCTGTGGCTAGGCTCACATGAGTCATGGTGCAAAGTTTCCAGCAGGACCACGTCGAAGCACCCTCAAGCTGTCTGCTGCCTGGAGAGGGGCTGAGATGGAATCACAGAGCTCATAATGTCTCTGCATGGACAAAGGGAGCTAAGTCACTGCAATTTGCAATTAGGCTAACAGCTACTTTCCAAGTGCATGCACAGAAGATAAGGAAGACCTTAGAGATGATAGGTAGAAGCCTTGGATGGAAATCTAAGGGAGATGCTGTGTGTATCAGCAGCTTAAACAAGAGCAGAGAATGCTGATTCTTCTGGAAAAGCTCCTTCCAGTTCAGTTCTGTAAACAAAGTAAGTAAGGAGAGAGGACTAGAAATACAAAGCTAACAAAAACCTGCATGAGATTTCATTATTTCATCTTTTCAAAGCACTACATGAGCATTCATCATCCCTGAGCCCTTCACGAGCCAGATACCATGCAAGTAAAAGGATGACATGAGCTGATGTTTCCAAACTGGAAAGGGGAAATGGATCAGAAACCCTCCTGTGCTTTGGGAGCGAAGCATCCATTTATATTACTGGAAGGCTGGATAACATCACTACTCTGAGGCCAAGCAGTCTGAAATTTGACAAAGGACCAGGCAATATGTTAGCCTGAAGGTCTCCACCTCTGTGTCGCTGCTATACCAGATTTCCAGAACCTAACTTCTGGGGTGATATGACAGCGTTTGCTTCCCTCAAGGTTAGCATATATTCTGCAAGATTCTCTTGAGTTCCAGGTGAGAATCAGCACAGCAATGGCAAGGGTGATTTCAAAGGGTGTATGGGAACTGTTGATCACGGCCTGAACCTCTGATTGACCACCTGAGGCAAGCAATGAGTCAGCCGTGGGAGCACAGGTGAAGGCAATTCAGCCGTGCTACCAGAAGAGGTGGAGCCTGGCTAGGCTCTCCTAGGTACCATTTAAGTGCAGACTGCCACTGAGGAAGGATCTCTTTCTGGAGGTTGCTCCTTGTGGAGTTTATTGTGAGCTTACAACATTGGTGAGCATTTTTCATTTATTATCTTTCCACTGCAATAATCCTACTTAAACTAACCTCTGTACACTTATTGATTGTACACCTCTGTATACTCATTGATTGTACAAGTGGGTTATGGTGATTTCAGCCCTGGGGGTGGTGGCTCTACACTCTTTATCCATGGAAGGAAGGAGAGCACTCTGTGTTCGGCTCCTCAGCTGCCCTCTCTGCAGAAAGAAGAGCCTCTCCCACTCCCGTATTCTGCTGTTGGCACTTCGGTACTGACACTGTGCATCTTTTCATTTATTACAGTCACCTGCACTGTTCCAGGTCTGTCCTGCTGTCACAGAATTAGAGAATCACTTGAGGGAATCTCAAAGGCCATTTAGTCCACCACCCTGCAATGAACAGGGACACCCCCAGCTCCATCAGGGGCTCAGAGCTCCTCCAGCCCAATGTTGAGTGTCTCCAGGGACTGGGCTCCCACCCAGAGCAGCCTGTGCCAGTGCCTCACCACCCTGACTGTAAACAACTTCCTTCTATCCAACCTAAAGGCACCTGGTCCCCCTCCAAAGCCTAATGGCTCAGTGGCCAGCTGGTGAAATGCTCATAGCCACTCTCTGTGCCAGGCAGGCAGAGCACGGGGAGCCTGTCCAAGGGCTTTGAGGGAAGGCACAGTTAAGCCACTGTTTGAACAGCTTGGTCAAAGGGTTGGATTTTCAGCTGACAATAGTCCTGAGAGAAAAGAAAAATAAAAGAGATGTGTGAACACAATGGTCTCACAGGAAACTTCAGAGGCAGACAGGAAGGCTCAGATGGGCATGAGCTGTGCCTGGCAGAGCACAAGGTGACTCTGACTCTGACAGTCTGAGATGGGGGAGAGAGGAAAAACTCATTCCAAGCCTGAGGAAATGCCATGGGATAACATAAAGCAGATCAGCTCTGGGGTACTTTAGCAAGTGGCAAAGCAGGAGGAATGAGTAGGAGGCTCCTCAGCAGTTGGCAAGGAGGAAGAAGTGGGTGGACTAAGGCTGAGACTGCAGCAGGAACAGCCAACCAGGAGTGCGGGGAATGCCTGCTGGGCTGGGGTTTGTCACGATGCTGGCTTTATGTCTCTGCTTTGGCTGGTGCAGACTGCAGGAGAAGGCCCCAGGCTCTTGGCCCGCATAGCTCCTGGAGGAATGCCCTATAATCCAGCCCCTACCTGATGCTGTTCTGCAAACACACACAACAGACACCTGCTGCCTTACCAGAATCTCATGGCCGTAGGAAGCCTTCAGCAACACAGGCAGGTGATCGGTGCCAATGAAATCGTGTCTAGCAGTGCAAGAGGAGGAGGAAAAAAAAAAAGTTAGAAACCAACCTTGATCCCAGGGTGGTAGAATCAGGGTCACACGGTACATTAGAGACAATTCATTTCCCTGCTAAAGAATCACTGTTGCGTAAGGGCCTCTCAGAGAGAGAGGGGGACAGTTGTGCTCGGGTGGGAACAAGCAGTGTAGTGTTGGTTTTAATCATACACCAGTGCAGGGACCTGAGATTCTAGGCCATATGAAGCACCAGCCCTTCTCAGATCAGGGCTGTTATAGAAAGAGAGCTGGCCAACTGCCTGCACACCTCCTACAGGCAAAGAAGGCTCTAGCTGTTGGCGAAGACAAGAATATCACTGTGTAGTCATTGCTGCAGAAAGTACAGGCGCAGGGACTTTGCACCTGCCCAGTGTCTGCTGGGCAAGAAGCATGTGAAGGGAAAGGATCTGGCATGAAAGAAGGAGGGCGTTCTGCCAGCAGGTGCTGTCCTGGCATGCAAGATGATGCCATCACCTGTGTGAGAGCTGGACAGCTTCCTCTTGTCCTGGAAGAAGCTTCCCTGACTTTGGGGAAATGCTGAAGAGCTGATTATCCTGAATTCTCATCTGATGCAGCTCCTGCGGGCTGAGATCTGCATCCTCTGCCCAGTGCTCCATGTCCATCTTCTGATCAGAAGGAAAGAGGAAGGCCCTAGGGACCCAGTGAGCTAGTCAGCGGCAGGGATGGACAGCTTGCCCAGGTCAATGTGTTCAGTCCAGCTAGGCTTCCCCACCCAGACCCACTAACAGGCCTCATTCACAGCCTCATAACACAAACCACACCACTCCATTCATTCTCTAATACCTCATGGCCCCTGTGAGCATTCCCATCTCCCCCTGCAGACCCCCAAGGGAGGGATGAGCTCCATTCAGCACTGCTTACCATTCCACAGGCACCACACCATTGTTTACCAGCAGGAGCATCACAAGGGCAGGCTCTGAGCCTATGGGGGCAGCTCCAAAGTTGAAATCCAGCAGGAGAGGTGTGTATATGGGGGGGATCAAGTACGTGCTGATCAGCAGGGAAAAAGAAAAGGTTAACTTGAGACAGAGGGGTTGGAACTAGATGGTTTAAGGTTCCTTCCAACACAAACAATTCTATGATTCTACGCTATCTATCTTCCTTATAATTCTTTGATCCTTCATCTCTTTTTGGAGAAAGAATACTGGGCGTAAGGAATGCCTTCGGATTTGCTCTGATTTTTTACGTATGAGCTACATGGAGGATCGGTGACTACTGCTTGGCTTACCCCTCACCTCACCTGTGCCTTGTGGGAACACTGCAGGTGAGCTCACTGGGAGCCGGGTCTCGCTGCAGGTATTCATTCAGTGTGTCCAGGGAAAGCAGCCTCCAGAGGAGCAGCCTGCTGATGCCGCTGGCACTCCCTGCTGAGCAGGCGTCAGCGATGTGGAACGTTGGGTGGACGCCTGTTGCTTCTATACAGCAGAGGAGTCGCTGCTCTGCTTTTGTACTTGCAAGATCTGGAACTTGGGAGACAAAAGTAAAGGGAAAAAGTATGCAGGAGAGGATGAACTGCTCAGCAGAGTGATTTCTGCTGTCAGGATGGTTACAGTCCTGCACAGTTTGGTCTATTCTGGCACAGACTGCTTGGCTGGGAGGGAGCACCTTCTCCCCCTTCCCACAAACATGCATTTCTCACCTGCGGGGGAGCAGATTGCATAGCTGATGGACCAGGTGTAGTGCAGCTGCCGGGCTGGCCTGACTGTTACTCGCACAAAAGCTTTTGACCTTGCAGGGATTGTCCCTCTGGAGTGTTCCAGTTCCAAAGCTGTAGGAGAAAGGAGGTGGCATGAGCTCCGGGCATCTATCCTAAAACACGCAAGTATCTTGTACACAGCTTATGAGAATGGTTGCAAGTTAGCCAGCAAGCAGCTCAACCTCTGAGCATGTGCTAGCACCATTTTGCAGAAAAGTGGGGAAGGACAAGGCCCCATGCCAGGCTAATTTCCCCCAGTACCCATCGGATCACTGCAGACTTCCTCGGGGTCACAAAGCCCAGTGATGAGCTGTTCCACGCTGAGGATGTACTGCAGAGAACAGATCCCATCGTTCAGAAGTACCATGCTGCAGTCTTTCAGATTGCCAACCAGAACATTTCCAAGGTCCAGGTGTTCCTTTTGTGCCTGAAATGCAAATCCGTCATGCAAAGCTCACCATTACATGTAGAGCATAGCAGTGAATGTAGCCACCATGTTGGACCATATGCAGAACAAATAGAGGAGAGCAGGCAGTGGGAGGAGAGAGATGGGAGTGTCAGAGGAGCCAAAGGCCCACATCTCACTACAGGCCCCATTTCCTTACCTTGATGGTGCCTAGTGCCCCCTCTCCAACAATCCTTAAATTATAATGGATGCTTTGGGGTGACACAGGTGCTGGGCTTTCCCAACCCACAAACACTGCAGCTCGCAGGAGATACTTGGTCACGTTGTCAGGGGTAAAAGTCCATGCTTGAGCCTGAAACCACAAAGGGAAGGATAACATTGATGGGAGCTCCAGAGCTGTATTGTAGAGATTACAATGCTATTTTGATAGAACCTGAGCTTACCATGGCTTCATAGGGCTGGAGGAGCCCTGCTGCTGGTCTGACAGACAGGAGCTTGCTGTCAGAGTGGTGGATCTTCCATGTGAAGGCCATGGGTAGCCTTGTGCAGTTCTTTATGGTATACCTTTGTGTTGAGGAGGTCCCTATGCAAACAGGCTTGAAGTATAGATTACCATCACCTTCTAAGAGCAAGAGAAGGGACTCTGCACAACTCCGGAGCATGATCTCCTGTGGTGTTCAAAGAAAAACAATAGATGTTGTCCAGAAGTCTCAGCCTACCTTTGGATGGAACTTGAAAAGGGTTGCTTCTTCCAGGATGGAATCCAGAACAAATGGGCTGAAGGAGGATGGGAAGGACCCTGGACTGAGCTCTAAGCATCGTATAATACTTTCCAAGAGACAGAGACACAAGGAAACGAGATATAGAGTATCTGGTATCATGAGCATCTTCCATCAGCAGTGTGGATGGAGAACTGAGAAGAGGATGTGTACAATGGAAGAAATCATTCTCAGAAGCTTATCCTTCCTTCTGCTTACCTTAGTGTACCCTGGATAGGAGTTCAGCTGCAAGGACAGGGTGTGTTGCTGTGATATAGTGTTAACTGGGCAAGTGGAGAGAAAGAAAATCTGGTGGTCTCCTGGCATGATGTGTCCTGAGTGGGGCTTGACCAAAACAGAGGGACCAGCAGCTTGGTTCATGCTGAAGGTTATCATTGAGGTGCCTGTGTTTGAGAGCAGAGCACTGCAGTAGGTGTCCGTGTCAGAAGCCACAGGAGGAAAAGTCTGGAGGAAACAAATAAGAAGCATAGTTTGACCTTATGGGATCACTGCTTTATTGTGATAGAAATGCAGCAGGGAGAAGCAGGAAAACTTCCACTCCACCTTGCAAGCCTCTTACAAAAGTGTGGATTCTGTGCTCTGCTCTCCATTTGTCTAAGAGTGTGTGGAGTGCCTAAGACACCTGAGAGCGGACTAAGCACCCTTGTCAGTGCCTACACCCACTTAAACAAGGCCAGAAGGAGATTCCAAGAGCTTTCCACTCTGAGCTGATGAGAGGCTGCATGCAACCTGTCACACTGAAGTTTGGCAAAGTAACACAGGACAAAAAGCTTCCAATTTTTTCCCAAACCATGAGTCTCCCCATCATCGTAAATCACCTAAGACATGCCTCAGGATGTTGAAATGGGGGCAAAGCAAAAGTTCACGAGTAAACACTGAGCATCTCTGCAAAATTCCAATTTCTTTAAGTTCACACACCTTGGGGACATCTAAGAGGTACTGTGGGATGAAGTGCTCCCGTTTTGCTTCATACGTGTGTGCCCTCAGCCTGATGGTCAGGCACCAGGGTGGGCAGATGGTGGCATCCTCCTCAATGTTGCTGTATTGTCTCAGAACCTACAGGCATGGAGGAGACAGAGCTGAGACAGAGCATGAGGGAGGGGAGCATAGCAAGGTGCCTCCTGACCATTCCTACTAACCTTGTAGAAGGCAAAACCTTCCAGCTCTGCGGCGTAAAGGCTGTTGAGCTGGGTGGGCTGGAAAAGGACACGGAAGGCTGAAGACTTCAAAGGTGGGATGTCACAGCTTTCGGGGGTCACTTGGAAAGCACTGCCATGGCTTGGAGTCCAGGCAACAGTGATCTTTCCTTTGGTGTGGTTGGTGACACAGAGAGGAAGTGGTTCTGCCTTGTGGAGTGGCACACAGCACCCAAAATCATGCTCCCTGGGGCTGACACTAACGTGAGGCGGAAACAAGGCCAGGTCGCTGCTTACGCCATCACAGAAATATTCACTCATGGAGCTGGCTTCGGTGTATTCCTTGGGGGGCTCGTCCAGAGGGATCTACAGGATGGGAGCATCTTGGTGTGTGCAGGGTAAATGTTGCACCTTGCACTTCAGGGAGAGCAGCTCATACCTGAGGAAGGAGCATGAGGGCCTTCTTCTCATCCATCTGCAACTTCCCATCCTTCAGCATCATGCTCAGGATATCAGGGGGATAGAAGGTCAGCCCCCTCACCGTGTTGGTTCGGTACCAGGAGAGGTGTCTCGCCTGCAGGATGGCTGGCTTAGTGGTGTCTGAATGGCAGGTACCAAAGAAGTCCACATAAAGGGGTCCCTGGGAAAACAACAGAAATTCTTGTACAAAATAAGCTGCCCTTCTATGATTTCCTTGAAAGTTACCTTAGAGATTATAGAGACATACAGATTTGCTACTAGCTTTGAGAGGCCAGCCCTAGTGGGTTACACTGCAAAAACCTTCTGAGCTCTCGCAGTGGTGATACCACCCGCTGCTCCCTTACCTGATGATGAACGAGGCACACCACTCTGCGGTGGCAGCTGATGGGGTGAGCAGGGCAAAAGATCACCTTCAGCACGAGGGTTGTTGTGCCCTCCAAGACCCCACAGGGGCGATCCAAAGAGAAGACACTCCCTCTGCCATCAATATCAAACTGGTAGTACGCAGGGACGTCTGAGACATTGCTGATTTTCAGCGTCTGCATTGAGCTTTCCCCAAGGTTGATCCAGTTGAAGTCTACAGAGGATTGGTGCAGAGATACACATGGGCCTAGAACAACAAGAAGACACAACCAATCTTTCACGGCCAGCATGGCTTCACCAGCAAACCCACCAGTCCCAGCAAGCAGCTTCACATTCGCCTCCAACTATCTCACATCTCAAGACAGTGTAAATTTAAATCAGTGCCCCAGGGATGGCATGGATGGCAATAGAAGGTACATCTTCGAGGGCTGGGACAGTCCCTAGTTCTTCCCCAAGCAGTAGAACTTCCCCTGCAGGGCTGAAAGGAAGGTGGAAACGTGGGAAGCTTTCACCTTTACATGAGCCAACCATCTTTAGAACGGTCTGCTGGAGGCACCCAGTGGGTGTGACAGTGAAATAATCTGTGCTGTGCTCTCCTACTGCCTGTGGCTGAAACTGTATGCACAAGGCCAGCTTCCCTTTGGCAGGGACAACAGCATGGGACACGTTGCAGGAGAAGACGTGATCTAGGAGCAGAGGGTCTTTTGCTCTTTCTATCGTACATGGTGCATCAACCTGGAAGCAGAGAAGAAACAGGCTCATCACATTTTATTCACGCTCCCACCTGGGCTATTTTCACAGCATTACGGGAGATTCCTAAACCACATCTCTCAGGGACATGTGCCAACTTGTCACCCTCTTACAAGAAGCAGTCTCCCTCTTCACATACCACAGACATGTTGAGGATTTCTACAAACTTCTCCACTCTTGTGCCTACTGGCACCGACCCGAAGCACAGCACATCCTGTAACTTGCCAGGCTGTCCGCTTTTGTGCTGTTCCCCTGGCACATTCACTTGCAGATAGGGGTATTTGGCTGTGAAAGAAGATCATGCACAGCATCACCTCCAAGCACAGCACCTCCATGTATCCCTGTGGGATGCTGCCCTAAGGTTAGGGACAATACATGTTAATGAGCATTAAACACAAGAATGACTAACCCTGGGCTCTAAGCTGCATGGTTCTCTTTTGCTTTTCTTCAACACCAAACAAACACGTTGCTATTACGTTGCACACTGCAGCTGTCTTGGGTTGGAAGAGCACCTTAATGGTGCACTCAGCACCTGCGTTCAGCATGCCGTGTTCAGGAATCATGTAGAAGGGGCTGGGTGTCTCCCAGGCAAACACTGTGATGAGGTCACTAGGAAGCAAGGACATTTGGAGAAGATGAATGGAGCCATTCTGCCTGTGCAATCGTGCATAGGATGGGCCTTTCCCAATGGGTTGCTCAGTAAGGATGTGAAACAAGCAATGGGAACATCAGAACATCTAATGCATCTGGCCAAACACTTTGGGGAGTTGTTAGAGAATGGGAAGCCCAAGAAGGTGGTCATATATCTGACCAAACCAAAAGGGGCAGCTCAGCCACACGGCACTCACCCCACATTGCGCACAGTGAATGTTGTCTCCACGGTGCTGTGCACAGCACAGAGAGGCAAATGGACAGCAGCTGGGAAGGACAGGCAGGGACGTGGAATCACAGCACGCAGGGCGACAGAGAACTCACCCTCAGCCTTCCGAAAGCAGATGCTGTCTTCGTAGTCCCTCTGCATGGAGAAGTGAGGGGAGACAGCAGTCAGATGGGCTCCCTCGAGCTGAGTTCTGCACTGAATTCATCCCATTGATCTCTGGGATCGAGCCAGGGACAAGTAGTTCAAATGCCTTATTTTACAGACATTGGTGAGAGGCAGTATGGGCAAATTGGGAATACTTTATGCAAGGAGACCTCTCCTAACTGCCAGCCATAACTACAGGCAAATTGCTCCCCCAGCTGTTGGACGCATGGAGATTGCAGGAGGGTTATGCTGTCCTACACTAGAACCTCCCAAAAAGACAGGTTCCCTCCCTGAAAGCCAAGCAGGGCACTGAGAGCAGATTAGATGCTGCCACTTTACCTTTTCAGTGGGCCGGAAAATGATGGGCAGGGTTAAGGACATGCCAGGGCTCAGGGCAATTGGCTGGGGAAAAACAGTGATGAAGAAGCGCGTGGAAGGACATCTGGATAACGAGATTAAAACAGGACATTTTGTCTGATGCCATACAGCTTTTGTTCTATTAGGTAGCAGAAAAGAGAATGAAGTATTAAAAGATTCCAAAGCCCCACAGTTAGAAGTGACTTAGGAACCTGACCCCAAAGTCACTCAGCAAATAGAGGCAGAACCCAGGTGTCCTGAAAATCCATTCCCAGCTCTAAATACCTGCCCCTTCCTTAAACTGTACTTTACATTCCCAGGCCACACAGTGTGAGCCAAACTCTTACTAAGGGCAGAAACATTTGAATCTCAGAGCAGGCAGGGTCACAGGGAGTGCTGGCACCCAGCAGAACTCCCTGGAGCCATGGTTTCAGGACACACTAGCGGCTGGCTGGCATACATCCACGATTCAAATCTCACTAGACTGGAAATGCCTCACAGACAGAAGTATCAGCAAAACCGAATTTTAAAAAGGCATTTCATTTTAAATACTCCTGCTGGGAACAAGGGCTGTGCATCTGAATTAGTGGGTTTCTGCCCTGCTGCGCCAGCGTGCACACAGCCTGCAGTGCGTCGCCCAAGGGAAGAGAGGCAGATGGATCAGAGAGCGGGATGGAGCAGAGGAATGAAGATGCAGTGAGAGGGTGAGGAGGAAAAGGAGAAGAAAACTTCCCACACACCTGTAGCTCAGCTTCTGGGTTTTCTCATGAACATTTTTCAGAACCAGATGTTTGATCACCTCTTTTCCAAGCTCCCAGCCACGCCATTGGAGTGTTTCTGCCACTTCAATGCCCCAGAATATGCCTTTCTTCTTTGCCTTTCTTGAGGATGGCTTAGGAATTTGCAACAGGAACATCAGCAGTTTGTGAAATTGGGAGAAGTCACCCCCACAGCTGTTGCCTTGCTCTAAAAGCTTGTGGCCTTGGCTAGGGATGTAGAGTCACCCTGTGCCAGGGTCCCTGGAGTCCCCAAAGCTCTGTGGGGTCCTCCTGGAAGTCAGAAACTACAGAAGCAGGGGTTAAAGAGACGGTAGCTGTCTCCCTTCCCCTGCCCTTCCTGTAAATCCACCCATGGCAACAGCACCCTTGGTTTCAGCACTCACCTTTCTGACACAGCCACAGCACCGCCTCTGAAGAAGGTCCGGGTTGGGGGGTTCCCCCTGCACCTCAGCCAGCATCTGAGGACTGAGAGGAGAGCATCCTCACACACACCACTCCTCTGCCAGGCTCCTTGCTCCAGCACCCAGGAGCCCCTAGGGCCCAACCGCCCCTCCTCAGGGATTCCTGGCATCCCCATTTCCCAGCTGGGCCCATCTCAGCTTGGAGAGCAGGGTTTTATACTGCTCTTATAGCCCCGTCGAGGGCTCCGCAGCAGGGCCCCACTCCCTACAGCACGGGGCACAGCTCGGCTCCCTCTGCCTGAGCCCACCTCGCTTCCCAGTTCCGGCTCAGCGCCACGTAGCATCACTCCCGTTGCCATGGCAACCGGACGCGGCGGCGTCGTTTCCCGTAGCGACGACGGCGGCCGCCCCGGATCAAATTGCGCGTTGCTGCGGCCGCCAGGGGGCAGCAGTGGGACAAGGAGAGGGTACGGAGTGCGGAGGGGTCGGATGGGTGAGGGGGATCGAATGGGGAGGGAGTGCAGGGGATCCATATCGGGGGTCCGGGTAGGGGTGTATGGGGGCAGATATAGGGCTTCAGGGCGCAGACGGGATGCATGGGTGCAGGGGGCAGATAGGGGATGCAGTGGGGGCAAGATAGGAGGACACAGGGAGCATATCAGGGAGCCCGTGTGGCTTAGGGGGCATACAGGGAAATGCAAAGTGTGCAGGGACAGATAAGGAAGTGCTGATGTGGGGGTCGAAGTGGTGCAGAGGGGAGATGGAGACCAGGAGATAGGACAGGAAGATGGAGATGGATTGGGTCACAATGTATATGGTGGCAGACGGGTGCAGATGTTGCAGAATGCAGATGGGGAGAACAGGGAGCAGATGGGAGCACAGATAGATGAAGGGGTGCTGAGGTGATGGCAGGGTGGAGGGGGGTCAAAGAGAGCCTAAGGGGAAGAGAAGATCTGGGTAGGTGCTGGATAGGGGGCAGAGATGAAATGAAGCTGAACGCAAAGGTGCAGTGAAGAAGTGTGGGTGCATAGGAGGAGTGGGGGAGAGGGCTGTGGGGATCAGGAATGGGAGTACCTCGTGTGTGGGGGATGCAATAGGCTGGAGGGCACTGGCATGGGGATGGGATTGCACTTCAGTGAGGCAAGGCCAACCCTTGGAACATCAGTGGCCCAAGCAACAAGCTGCCAAAAGCAGTTCTGGAATTGGGTGAAAGCAGATGAAGGAATGGAGGGGACCTTCATGTCCCCATCAGGAACACCTGGACAACCCCTCATGGTGTAGCACGACACAGAGCAGGGCTGCTGGATCTAGGGCAGAGGCAGGGAGGAGATGCAGCTTTAATGGCATTTGTCAGTGTTTACACCGTGAGTCATCTGAGTGAGCAGCTGTAAATCAGCACCCCAACCCCTCCTGCAGCCGCGACCCCTCCAGAGTTCCCCAGCACTGGATGAGTGCCTGGCTCCTGCAAAAACAATCTCATAAATAACAGCAGCAAAACAACCCCTCCTGCAGCCACCAAGTCCCTGTGTGTGGCAGGCGCGGGACAGACGCCTCCCATCCATCACTTTAATGGTTGTACTCTGGAAATTAAAGCTGTCACAGCCCATCAAGGTGAACGTTTTAAGCTTGTCACATCCCTCCAGCTCCCCTCCTCCTTCCTGGTGCTCCCTGTTCTCCCGTCTTTTCTTTCCCTCTCTACCCCACACCTTTGGACAGGGTGCCCAGGATGCCTGGCACCCAGGGAGAGCTGCTGAGCTGCCAGCAGCCACTGAGGGTCACTGTGCCCCCACACAGCACAACTGCCCACTCCTGCACTCCTCTTACCCTTCCCTCTGTCCCCAGCCCCTGGTTCTCCACCTGTGTTGCTGTCACAGCATCTCCTAAGGAAGCACTGACAGGTATATAGGGGAAGGATTATGTATATACATGTATACACACACACTCCTATATATAGGGTCTGCCAGAACCCTTTAGCATCCCAAGGAAAAGGGAAGCCCTGCTTGCTTATGTGTCATGGCTTAACCCATGGCTCCTAGGGAGGCAGTAGAGGGTGGCTGTTGTCATCCCATTACCATGAGCTGATCCAAGCCTAGACAGAACAAGCACAGTCCTCAGAGAATCATAGAATGGGGCTGAGAGTGGATCAGACATCACCATGGGACAAGTACGGTGCCACACAGGGAGGCTGGGTGTCTAGAGAGCTGCTGGTGCCACTGCTGCCCTGCCTACAGGCAGCCCAGCAGAGCACAGACCACAGTGGAGAAGCAACAGGCATGCATGCTGTACACCATCCTTCCCTACCACCCAGGGGAAGGGTAGAATGGAAGGGGGGTCATGGCCCTGCCATCAGGAAGGGGCAGTTTGCAGCTAAAGAAGACCCTGGCACTGTTCCCAAGCAAGACACTGACAGGGCAGCACAGGGGCAGGAGAAGCAGTGCTCCACCCCCTAAGGAAAAGCAGAGGCATCCGGACAACAGCTTTATAGGGGAGGGATGTGGGGAAACCCCCAAATACACACAGGAATAATTACACATTAAATAGACTCCAAACACACATAAGTTAAAGGGAGGGCAGGCTCCTCTCAGCCCCGTGCTGTACATGGGCACAGTCTGCCAGCCAAGAGGCCTCCAACTCCTCAGCCTGGACCCTCTTCACAACACAGAGCCCATCTTCCTCTCTGCAGTGCCCATCTCATCGTCCTCCTCTTCCTCATCCTCCTCTCCCCCTGAACAGGAAGAGTCGGGGCCGTAGCCCAGCTCAGCGCTGCGGCGCAGGAAGCCCGATCCGGGGCTGCACCCCACAAACTCGGGGCTGTCACCAGCCTGTCCCTGGGGCTGGCTGGGCAGCAGGCTCTCATCAGCTTTGCCAAGCCCCCGTGGCTTCTCGGGCTCCACTGCCATCCCCTGCTCCTTGGCTTTGCGGCTCCGCTTCCACTTCATGCGGCGATTCTGGAACCAGATCTTCACCTGCTCAGGAGGGAGCAGCCATCACACCACAGCCATGGGTACCCATCAGCACTCCTCCCGCCCCAACCCATACCCACTCACCCCATAGCCTTCCCTGCATCGAAGCACCCCTGGACTGCCCTTGCTGTAGCATCCTGCAGTGCTTTTGCTCTGGAAGGTCCCAGGGGCTGTCCCTGTCCCACACTGGCATGGAGGGGTAGGAGACAGAGGGGACCAAGTCCTCAGAATGTCACCACATGTGTACAGGGACATTAAAAGAGGTCTTTTAACCCCACGAGAAGCCCTCACCCACAGTGCAGGGAGAGATGAGGAGAGACTCCGCAATGCAATGGTGGGTGGAACGAGGTTTCTGGGGTGGCCTTAGCAAGGGAAGGGCCTGGATCTCATCGGGCAGCTCTGCCCAGGAAGGGGGTGCCAGTGGGGCTGCTGGCAGCCAAGGGAGGGACATCAGCACTGCCCTGACTTCCCATCCCACATCCCCAGCAGTCCTCTGCCCCCATCCCGAGGTACCTGCGTCTCAGTGAGCATCAGCGACGTGGCCACCTCAAAGCGCTTGGGCCTGGACAGATACTTGTTGAGCTTGAACTGGTTCTCCAGCTCCAGCAGCTGCTGGCTGGTGAAGGCGGTGCGGGGCCGGCGGCACTTCCCCATCAAGGCAGACTGCGGGGTGGCTGCGGGGCACACGCACACACAGGGTCAGGAGACAGCAGGGAACAGCCCTCTGCCTGCCCTCCTCCATCGCCTCCCACCCAACTATGGCTTTATTGCCGCCAAGATATGTTATCAGCCCTTGGTGTGCAAGCAGGATCAGTCCCGTGGCTGAAATTAACGCTGCTTTTTATTGCAGGGACGCACAGGTGTCTGCCCAACCGCCGAGGGTTCCCTCACCGGGCTGCTATCATCACCGGCCCGGAGCAGGAGGAACAAAGAGGCCTTTGAGCAGCCTGCGTGGGGTGGCTCTGCGCCGTGTTTGATCCCTGCTTATCTCCTGTCTGCTCGCTTTGTTGTCCCCAGCGCGTTCAGCTTTACTGCTTCTCCCAGCACCGCAGCAGCAACCAAACACACAGGTTTGCAGCTGGGAGTAAAGGGCTGGAGAGGCACAGAGAGACCCTCACCACATCCCACACTCCAGCTGCAGAGTCCCACTGCTCCCCAGCTCGTCTGAGCAGGGAATTGCTCCCCAGCCAGAACATATGGAAGACAGAGTGTGTGGTGTGAGATGGAGCCCCACAGTCATGCCTCACTTGGGGACAGCACAGGGCAGGGCTGTCGGAGGGGCTCGCCCTCATTGCAGGGCACAGTGCACCCACCAACGTTATCTCCCACAGATTCCAGCTTTGATCCAGACCTGCCCATCTCAGAGTGCCCCCCGAGCCCTGCACAAACACGGTGGTGACGCATAGCGCAGGAATTTATGAAGGGGCATTAACCGAGCGCCATCTGGGTTTGATCCTGGGTACCTGGGCACAGGGTGGGACGGGTCAAACAAGCAGAGCCGGGGCTCATAAACACCAGTGGAATGTAACCCAAATGACTGGCTGCTGGAATATGGTCCCTCTGTCTGTCACTCCACCTTAGCGTCTCCAGTCCATGCTCTGCACAATGGTGACCATCACAGACTGTAACATCCCTAGAAGTCCATGCTGCCTCCTACCCCACTCACTGCTGGCAAAACCAAACCCAACCCAACCCTAAAATCCCTCTGTTGTTGACATGCACTCCAAGCCACCAACCAGCCCACAACTCAGCCCACTCTGGGATGTCCTCCACAGGGAACAGACAGCATCCTCCAGGTCTCTGCCAGCCGAGCTGTGAATATCTCCAACCCCACCACCATCCCATAGGAAAAGGAACACTTCAGGGAGGCTCTCCCCTAAAAAGACCAACAACTGCCTCAGCATCACACATTTGCTTGAAAAGGGATTCTCTCTGCCCAGACATCTCCCCGAGGATCAGAGATTGCCTCAGTCCCCCTTCAGCTTGGCTGGATCAGAATCCACTGATGGGTGTCCAGCATCTGGCTGCAACACCAGTGAAGAAATTGATTGCCCTGGAGCAACGTCCCCAAGCCCAGTTCTGTGAGATAGCTACCTCCTGGCTAGTTAGATAAAGCTTATAAAGAATTATTGGTTTATTTGTTACGGTTCTATCT